CTTGCCCTTACTATTGCTAAGCTTATAAATTAAAATAGATTACATTTGATATTATTAAAGTGTAGTGCTTCATATTCTTACCATGCTAACTCAAACTAGTTTACCCATTTTTTTATAGCTTTCAACTGATGGAGAGGCTAGTCAGGTTATTGGGCCTCCATGTCAAGGCCAGATCCGTAATTTTGGAGTGGTCAACACTTTGTTTCAGTTTCATCAGTCCATTTCAAAAGTAATTAAATGCTTTAAACTCTCTCTCCCTTATATTGATAGTTTATAAAGCCTCCAATTTCAATTTGTTTTTCATTTTCAGTCCATTATTTCTTGAAAATTCTGAAATTTTAGTTAAGAAAATTTTCTATAAAAGCATATTATTTAAAATAGTTTTGCAATTTTTATTACTTTCTGTTCTGTGAAAGTGATTAGTGCATCTATCAAAGTATAACTAAATAATTCTTTTGACAATGATTATGCTTAATAAGATTTAAATAAATAAATAGATGCTTGGTTCTAGTTCTGTATGTGGGTGCACAGATGGCTCATAAGCCCGATTCTGGCACAAAATGACAGGGGAATGATGGCGCATCTCCGGGAGCAGAGTCAGACCGGGCCTTCCTGGCATGTCTCTTGCGCTCTGTAGCCAGCTGTTCTGCTAACTTCATGTTGCATGGAGCTCCTGTGCAAAGCGGAACGCCATGATGTTCGATCCTTTGATTTTTCCTCCCATGTGTCTGGATTTATGTCAAACGCTTTCAGTGAGGCTTACAGGTTTTCTTTCAAACTTTTCTTCTGCCCGCCAGCCAACCGCTTTCAAAATTCTTTTGGGCAGACAGTCTAACGTTCTCACCACATGTCCCTCCCTTTGTCCTGCCTTTGTGAGCACCTGAGTGTCTGGGACCATGTCCTGCCATTAAATGTTGAGGATTTTTCTGAGTCTTGTTGTATGAAAATGGTTCAGCATTCTTGCAAGGCATTGGTATACTGTCCATGTTTCACAGGCGTAGGGAAGCGTAGGGAGTGCATTAAAAGTCAAAAGGGAGCCTAGGCAAAAAAAGCTATTTTCTACCAAATTAGCTTACAGCTGCCAGAAATACTGAAAATAGTCAAGTCATGGCCATGTAGATTGTTGATAATGAAATTGATAAGAAGGTTGATTTGCATTATTATTAAACTGAACTTTAAACATTCTCTGTAGGTATTATCATACAGCTGCCAGAAATACTGAAAATAGTCAAGTCATGGCCATGTAGATTGTTGATAATGAAATTGATAAGAAGGTTGATTTGCATTATTATTAAACTGAACTTTAAACATTCTCTGTAGGTATTATCAGGAATTTCCCATTTTCCTAAAGAGGCAAAGCAAAGCATAGAGACAGCACTGGAATTAGTAGTGCAGCTGATGGGAACTGCGATACAGCCATTGTTATCATCTATATCTGATGCCCTGGAGGCAATCATTCTAACCATCCATCAGGAAGACTTTTCAGGGTAAATTTTTAATTCTTATTTTCACTGCTCTGGCGGGTAATAGGGTGCAAGTAACTATATTTTGTTGGCTCTTCATTTTATATTCAGTGCAGTTTTTATAATAAATGAAATGGTTCATATCTATACATTTAAGTTGTTACAGACTGTTCATCTTCTCTGTATGTGCAGGCCACCCCCCAGTAAGTCTGAGACTGAAGCCCCATGTTCATTGTACATGAAAGAACTGCAGAGTTTCATTGCAAGGTGTCAAACAGATTATCTCACACCTTTCAAATGTAAGGATTTTATCATTGACAGGTCAGTGTAGACTAAAATTAAATTAGTTTTACTGGTTTTATGATTGCTGTCAGGTTATTTTCTCCGTAGCTATTAAAACCTATTAGGTCAAGGGCCTGTCACAAAAATGGCAATGTCTCCCACACTGGATTTTATTTTCAGGATTTCTGGCAGCTGTAAGCCAACTGGGTAGAAAATAGCTTTTTTTGCCTTGGCACTCTTTTGACTTGCCATGCCAACTTGGCTGGTGTCATTTGGCTTCAGTGGTTGAGTTATTTAATTCAGAGTTTACCTCATTCCCAATAATAGCCACCTTATTGTTTATCTAATCCATTCCACCCAGTTATTGGCATGTAAATGTGAATGCCGAGATTGGGCAGAGTTGAACCAGCTATCTCCTGGTCGAGACGCAGACAGACTTAAGTAACTGTTGTGCCAAGTGACAGATGTGACTGTTGTGCCAAGTGACAGATGTAACTGTTGTGCCAAGTGATAGATGTAATTGTTGTGCCAAGTGACAGATGTTACTGTTGTGCCAAGTGACAGACGTAACTGTTGGGCCAAGAGACAGACGCAACTGTTGTGCCAAGAGACAGACGCAACTGTTGTGCCAAGAGACAGATGTAAACTGTTGTGCCAAGTGACATATGTAACTTGTGCAAAGGGGGTGTGAATTATACTTCTGAACACTTTGTTAAATATTCTAATTTTTAAAAATCCAGGTCTTTGCTATTCCATGCTGAGCTTTTAAACTTATTTTTTGTGCTAGAAAAGTGTTTTTAAAATGTCATTTATGTAATATTAATAAAATATTTTAAAATGTTATTTAAATAATATTTATTAAATATTTTGTGATAAAAACTATTTTTGAATAATGAAAATTAATTTTTTCTTGTTTCTTTTAAGCATCAACCCTATAGCCTGTCGCTGTGTAGAACTATTTGTCCGCCATGCCAGTTTGGTGCGCCCTCTAGGTGAAGGAGGAAAATTACGATTGGCTGCTGATTTTGCACAAATGGAATTGGCCATATCACCCTTATGTCGAAGACCAGCAGACCTGGGAAAATCATACAGACTTTTAAGAGCATTTAGGTTTGTGTAATATTTTATTATAGTTTCTGTATGTTGAAACTGAAGATGTTAGATTTAAAAGTACTTTAGTCACAAAATAACTATCGGCATCCTTCTGTCTCGTGAGACGATGGTGCATCACCGTTGGGTTGGGTTGCATTTTCTCGAGTGGCTGTGCAGTCCTATCCTTGAGTGACAGTCTTTACCACATATATTTTGAGATAATCAAGTCCAAAAAAATATTCTTTTCGCCTATAAAATATGATCCTTTTCATATTTTGTCTTGTTTAATTAAGGGATTTGAGCACATTTTAATGTTTTCAAAGTTCTGCAGTACACTTGGCTAAACCGGATAAGAAAAGGTCACAGTTTAGATTTATTTTGACAAAAATGCGACAAACTTAAGTACTTTTAGCACGAGGGTCAAATATATAGAAACATGTTGAAAAAAATTGATTTGATTATTTATAATCTATATTTAATTAATATCTAAATATAATTAATATCAACCTATAGAAATCACAGTTTTGTTTTCAGATCTATTATGGTATCTTTAACTTGACCATAAGTTGAACTTTAGTAAAGATTTTATCTTTTTGATGGCAAATGGTTTATTTCTTCTCTCTAGGCCTTTGTTGTTTCAAACTGTAGAACATGTGTCACTGAGCCCAGCCTTAGGGGAGATCATTCCTTACAGCATAGCCTTACAGTTTCTTTTTGCAAGAGCTCCTCCAGAACTGAAATCTCCACATCAGGTAACTTATAAATTTTATGGCGTTGCCTGGAGAAGAATGATTTTTTAAAAAAAACACTTAAAATTGCATAGCATTTTAATTTCAAAACAAATATGACCTAGTTTTCACTTTTGTTTGCAGGTATCTGACTGGTCAGTCAGTAGATATTCCCAATGGCTGGATGACCATCCTGCTGAATCTGACAGACTCAAAATTATCAAGTAGGAAACCCATTGATGATTTCAATAATTTTATACCAGAGCTACTGAAGTCTTATTTTACATGTTGTAACTTGTTTTTTTTAAATTATTTTAATGCTGCCTAGGCCTTTAATTTCAGAAAGTAGAGTATTTACTATATCTGTTTAACAGTAAAGAGAATAGCATTGTTTTACATAATGAGACCTTTTGCTACGATGTTTACTAAATGCACTTGTGCTAGGTAATATTTTAAAATTCTCTCCCCAGAGGTTCTTTAGAAGCCTATGCCAAGTTGGTTAGACAGAAACAAGGTAAAGAGTATGTAGCTGTCTACCCAGTGATGTTAGAAATGTTACAGAAGGGTCTACACTAGTGCTTTGACTATACCTAGCAAATTTATGTTCATTTTACTGATGTGAATGAAAGGACCATTACAAGTGTTGCACGCTGAGGTGGAAGTTTAAGTCAGTTAACATTGGAACATGCCTGTGAGTGTGTACAAAGAATGGGATAAAAACTTAAGAATAACTTGAGATTGTCTTTCTGCACTATCACTATCAGTGACCTTCCCCTAGATTTAATGACTGAAGTGGGTTAATTAAAGTATATTGGTGACATATTTAATGAAGTCTGAAAATTTGGGTTTTGCAGCAATTAAATTATATGATTTTAAAACTTTTGTTAAAATCAAAATAAACTTGTTTTTCTGGTTGATTATTCCTTTGCACTGAGAGCCGACAGGCATCTATGCCAAAAATGTCAAACCTTTGTGAAAAGGTAGATTTGAACATTGTAATTACGGTATCTATTAAATAGAATGTTGAATTCTTACAATGTGTATAACTATGAGCATTTCATGTAAGTAGTTATGATGACAGTAGCATAGGACTTGGACATCCTTGATTTAAATGTTTTACTATACCAGTAAAAATGGTACCATTCTTAAAATAACTGGGAAAGGAAATTATTTTTATAAAGTTATTTTATTTCTGTGATATTTTAAAATATGTGAGAAGTTTTGAGTTATGAGAAATGACATGTTTATTAAAAATGTTTGTGGATGTTGATCTGGGTTGTTAAAATTGGTTTTTAGCATCTCAAATTTTTTTTTAAAATTGTGATTTTTATGTTATTGCTGTCATCTTTCCTTATTCAATACATCAGACTGGACAGAATCATTTAAATTTTGAAGAATTTTTATTATATTAATGCAAATGTAAATATTAATAACTCTGAGGGCTAAATGAAATAAAGTTTGCAAACTTTGTAATTAATTGCTTTACTGTAAACAATGGTTTTAGGCTTATTAACAACAAAAGATTTAATGTCTATTGTTTCTAAAAAAACAAATCTTATGTATAATAATACAATTTAGTATTTTTTTAGGAACAATTGAGACATTAATACCAGTGAACAGATTTTGAAAAAATAAGTGATTTAACTTCTATTTCCAATGAGATGGAAGCACAGATAACTTAATTTTTTTGTTATTAATTATCATATTCTGATTCAATTTGTGTAGACACAATTTAAATGAGTGTTGGATTTGGGACATAAATACAAAATAAGGCAAAAGTATAATATTTGAGTTTTAAACGGTTGTAACACAAACATTTCTGAAAAGATTTGAGCAATAGACCAAAGGACATAAAATATTCTTTTAATAATATTAAAATCTGATAAATAATATAGTGCAAAATCTGGAGCATATTGAAATTACAAAAAAGTACAACTATTTAATTAACATTTAACTAAACTAGCTCTTTAGAGTCATCTTGTAATGTCATCTGTTCCTTAGATTTTAAGAGATTAGCTAGGACTATGCCTATGAACATAACTCCTCCTAAATAAAAGTTTCCACGGAATGCTTTAGCACAATCTTCAGCATTATCAAGATCAACAGAATAGATCTGAAAGAAAACAATTACACTTATCAGAATATCATTAGCTTTGAGCTCTTATTAAAAATAGAATAAAAATTGAATAGAAGGAAATATTTGTGTTCATATTACTCTACATACAAAAATTCTATATGTGTTAAAAATTTAATAGAATAAAATGTAACAATTAAAGCAGGGGTCAGGCCGACATTACACCCTATTTAAGGAAGAAAATCATAGACTATTTAAATTCAAAATGGCTCAATGATTGATCATGGAGAATACAACTATTAACATAATTACAACATAACATCAATAAAATAAATTAATAAAAGTAAAAGCCTCCTTGTGGAGCGAAAGAATTCCTTTGAAAAAAATGTTCACTTTAAATTTTTTAGAAATGATGTTTCATTTAGATACACTGTGTCATCAAAGTTTGGGCCCTTTTAAATCAGAGAAATTTGGGTACTGTCTTTGGGGTTAAATATTTGATTTCTATGCCTTGTTTCTATGTTCAATGGAGTAAGAAATCCTTGTTCACAAAAATTAAGTTGTTGCATTAGGCAGCAATGAGCAATTTTGAAAACGTTGCATCCCTTGAGCATATCATCATCATATTTATCCTATTTAAAAGAACTATTTTGAACTATTTTTTAACCCTCATTACCCCAAAGGTTTCCATTTTTACCCTTTTTGGGGCAATTTACCCCAGTTTGCTGATCACTGAATTACAGAATTATAATAGCAGGCAGCTTAAAAACATAGCTTACTTGCTGTCCCAATCTGGCTCCTGTTAACCCAACTGCTGCAAAGTAAGGCCACATCATATCACAAAGAAGGCCTGATCCTGTCAGGCCACCCATCATGACGACGGTAAAGGCAGCCATCCATGGCTTTGTCTGATCCCCAAGTCGAATGGCTGTAGACTTTACTCCTATTAGCATATCATCATATTTATCCTATTTTAAAGAGAATTAAAGTTAGAATTTTTAGATTTTAAAATAATATTTAAATAATTATTATACCCCCATAAAATACATACTAAGATGTCACAGTGCATTTATGCTTCTAAGGCAAGCTAACCATCTTTCACTAACATGGTCACAAATTCTTAGTCAGTGGCACATCTAGGGCAAAAAAGACGACCTCTACCCCCACTTTTGGTTTAAATTAAACTTATAAAATTAAATGTCCTGTTACTACCATTGATTCCACACACTATGAAAGGGTCTCCCTCTGGACAAAGCCTAGATCTGCTTATGTGTACACTACTCAAAGACACACTTGGATATAAGCCTTAAAGTTATAACTTGGTAAATAAAGATGTACAAATATAGTGTATTAGAAGAGATGAAAAGACTAGAGAAGGCAACAAATGATATTCTTGAAGAAATGTAGAGAGAATGAATGAGAAGATAAAAAGAGTCCCTAGAAACAGAGGTACAATTTCTATTGTTACCTGAAGCACATTATTTTACTGTTTCTATAGTAAATCAAAACTACCAAATAAAGTCAAACCCACCAAAGTTTGTGGTCAACTTTATTCATTATGGCTGTGTGGCACACAGCAACAACAAAAAAATAATAGCAAGGCTTCAGTTGTGTCTTATTTTTTTTTAAAATGAAAATAAACATAACCTCAATATTGTAAATGAATTTCCTGAAACCCAATCCTGTGGTAACTGAGCTGCTCAAGGTTTGCATTGTGTACTAGTACTAGGCTGAATAGAACATTGAGTTACACAATCAAATTAAAAAGAGAATATCTAAATTTAAAGCAAGAAAGAAACAGTAAATTTGTAAAAAGTATAGTGCTCTGAAGGGAGATCTTGAATATTCATGTTTCTTATTTAGTATGTTAATACTAAATGATATTATTTAAAAACCTTATGCCCTTGACAGTGTAAATGCTTGAAGCACACTAAACAAAATATTCAAACAAAACAACTCTGAACAAAGTTTAACTTGTTAAAACCATACAATTTTTAAAAAATAAGTCATTCCAAAACTTTATGAACAAAAATGAAATTAGAAAAATTAGATACTAGGATTCCCGCAACATTCATCAGACTACAAGCATAACAAACATGTTTACCTATAAAGTAACTATATTTACAACATACAAAAACCATAGGAGCTAAGTGAATATTGAATTCCCATGAACTTCGGCCTAATTTTTAACTAGGCCAAAGAAGGCAGTGGGGGAAATAACCTCCTGTCTTCTAATGAAATGTAATGATTGTCTTAATTATTTATATTTTAATTTTTTTTCTTTAATTTATTATCAGTTCCTTCCAAATAAATTTTAAAAAATGTTTTCCACAATTGTCTAAATTTTGTAGAAAAAAATTAATCCTCCATTAGTGCTTTAAAAATAAAGTAGTGGCCTTATTTTTCCCATATTTATTTATACACCTTGAATAATTATCTTTTCTTGCTTACCTGATGAGCATAGATGGTATCATAAATTAAGGTCCAAATGATACATGAGAAATACAGAGGGAGGCATATTGACCAATCAACTGAGGCCTTGACTGATGCCCACCCTAAGAGAGCACCATAGTTGAATGTAAGCCCTAGAAATGGGAGGAGGAAAGTAACGGTTGGGCATTGTCTTTAAAATAACACTTATTTTTATAACTTTTAAGGAACTTTGTCTAATGACGACAAGTTAACAAAAAATATTTTGCTTCCGTCACTTGTATATCAGTACTTATTTATTAGTATTAGCAAAAGTTGCATTTTTTTAGCTAGTATGGTGTACACTGTACATGCAGTCGGGCTCAAACTGGTGCTTAACCTGTGATCAGGGAAATCTTTCAAATAACCCAAGTACCCAATATCATTAATTGTGTACCACTACACTTAAAACATAACAGCAAATACAAAAGGAAATGATAAGCGCCACTTGACTACACAATGCAATTTCACACTTTAACAACAACACATCACAACATAATGAAGGGTATTACAAAATTGAAAGCTATCACACAATACTGAAGCATAAAAAATGTGAAAGTGAAAGCTGTTGTGGTTTTATAATGGAGGGATTAATTCCTCTATGTTACTAATATTAGTGACAATAATTATGGAATAGAATATTCAAAAGGAATTTAACCATGTAAACCAATTGTGCATCTTTAGTACCAAAATTGCTTTAACAGGATTTACAACTACTTCACTTGAGCATGATTTAAAATAAGTTTAGTTGTTCTGGGTTATAAATTAAATTTAACAAGCCAATTATAATTATTTTTCTAATAATTTCAAACATTCAGTAATATATATGAAGGGCTCAAGGGAAAAAACAGTGATGTCAGGTTTTGAGAAAATTGAATTTAAAGTTTGAAAATTCCTCATAAAAGTATGAAAATATCAAGATGTCTACCTATTTATGTATTGACTACGCTGCTTTTTCAGTTGGACCTATGTATCATCATATTATTCTCTTAAATGGAATGTAGCCACAAGGGAGATGACATATTAATATTGAAAAACTGACATCACTGGTTTTTCCCTTGAACCCTTCATATGTTTGACAAAATGTATTGCTGGTTAATATAAGTAATATTTTTTTTTTTTTAAATGTATTATACATAAAGAGATTTCAAAGCATGAGTAATAATGTTCATAAATGGAAAGCTAAAATTGTAAAAGAACTGGCTTAATTTTGTACTTTGACATTATTTCTGTTAATATGAGAGATATTTGCTTATTATAAGAGCTAAATATAAGTTAGTTATTAATTAGTCTTGTTATGGTACATAAATGTTTATAAAAGAATCATACCCGTGTATACAAAATAAAAACAATGAAACAGTGACAAAAAGCATTAAGCTCCATGTTTTAAGCGGCATGTGAATGATGATATATAGTGTAGAATTCATTGAGAGTATTTGCCACACTGCCATAATGATGAATTTTATTCAGTGTAAAAAAAATGAGCTTCAGAGCACAATTTATACAAACATATTAAAGTGATTCATTTTGAAATTCCCAGTAACCATGAGAATTTGTCTTACAATTTTTTAAAAACCTATAATTATAGAGTACCGGTATAAAAAAGGGAAAGATTGTGAAGGAGGTGGATCGGATAGAAGGGACAGCAGGTTAGGAAAATTATAAACTACACAAAGCTCATTCCACTGAAAACATCTTGTCCACCTTTTTAATCTCACTAGTGAACCCAGGATATGCAATCTGTTATGGCTTTGTATTTTTGTATCATGTCCATCAATGCTAGACAACCCACTGGTTCAAAAGGTTACAGGTCAAAGGATACACAAAATGATACACATTTATTAACTTTAATTAAAATTAAACTGTAACTAAAATAAAGCTTAAAGAGCCATTATGTTGAGAAGCTTTTATTTCTCCCTGTCACAAGTTTGCCATCCAACTGCATGTACCTGGTGTGAATACAATGTATCATATATGATGGTGTACAGAGTGCAAGCTATGTACAGGATCAAGCCAGGCACCTCCACTGACCCTCGCAGTGTAGACCAAGCCAACAGTACACCCCAATTGAGAGTTAGTCCTGAAATTAATAAAATCATCAAATCCGGTCGAAGACTGCAATGGGTATGCACAGAATAATTACGTCTACCGCAACCAAAAAATGACTCATGGATAACCAGTGTAACGTTAATCTTCAGAGAGAAATTAACACTTTAAAAAGTTCATCATGTATTTTCTTCTGCTCAATGCAAACTTAGGATTTAACTTATGTTCAATTTCATACAAAGTAATTACAATTCTGTGAAATAAAAGAGATATGCAGTCATGCCACATATAGACCAGCACAAAATGTAATCTACAATTGTAAATCATCAGAGAAAGACTCAGCAGTACTGTTGATAAATTGGTTGCTCAACCACTGAGGGAGATATCTAAAATTTATGATCAATTTCTTACTGACGGCAGTTTTTCTGGAAAACATTTTTTTTTGCGGGTCTAGGTACTTTAATCATTTCATTTTACATGTAATTTAGTAGTTATTTTTAATGTCTAATTAATACTAGACTTCCAGATACACCAATAATGACATGAAATAATTTACACTGTCGGTTAGTTGTTGGTCAAATATTTTTATATACCGGTACTTCATAATAAAACCATGCCAAACAAAATTTAAAAAGAAATCCTAGTGCAGCATACACCTTCCACAGAGGAAAGTAACAACAATTTCATAAGAGACAGTGCGCTCACGCTATGATCTAATACCTTGCATTTGCATAACATGGTCACATTCATCTAAGTGCCACAACAGCACTCATGTCCAACACCTACCTAACATGACCTGTGGCCAGTATGTAAAGCGTTTGCACAATGGATAAACAATTACTAGCCCCATGTTAGCAGCTCCCAAAATGATACTGTAAAATATATAATGGACATTTTGAAAAATTAGAGATATCAAAGATGAGTAAACTTTGAATGAGTAAACTAATATTTTATTACAAACTGGATAACTCATAAATTATCAATATTTAAGTTAAATAATTATAGCTATAAATGACAATGAGATGAACATCTCATCAAGCTAAGCTGTTGCCAAAATGTACAGATTACAAAGTACCTATACTGATTGAGCTGTAACAAGATTGCCAATGCACAGGATAGCTGCGTCCCAAGAAACACTAATGCCTGAAAATAGGTGATCTCCCCAGAGACTAACGGTCGAGTTCTGGTTCTAGCAACCTGTGTGCAGTGAAGTTGTTCAAGTAAAAAATAATAGAGGTAACTTAACTTAAATAATGATGCCTATGTAAAAAGCCATTCAAATAATTAAAGGAAGAGAACAAAGATACCATTATCCTAACTTTTCAACATAAATGGTAGTTTAAATATACCTTTGAATCAAAATCTTTATCCCACATATCATTAATAATGCATCCAGCTCCTCTCATAAAGAATGCACCAGCACCAAACAGTGCCAGTAATTTCAGATCAGGCATGCATCCAGGTGGAGCTGCTAATGCTATGCTCCAAGTGCAGGGCCAATACAAAAGCCATGTTCCTGGGAACACATTTTTTAATCAAATTTTATTTCAAAAGGACAAAAAAGTTACCATTATTTAAATATAAAATAACAATTTAAGCAATAAAATGAGACATTACTCTCAAAGCATAATACCGAAGAAGACGTTAAAACTTATTTATACCCTTAGCTCAGTTTGTGACTACTCACCTATTGGTTTGTCAAACCTAATAAGTCTCAGGTATGGTTGCAGTGAAAGGGGAGTGGATTCTAAGATGAGTCGAGTTGTAGAAAAATTGCCCCCTTTACTTTTTCTTTGAGCATGTTTTAGTCTGTGAGGAAATGATGTCTGGTGGATGGAAGCTTTCAGTAGTGATAAATTGTGTAATGATGTTATTGGAAAAATGCCATTTGATATTACACAACTTCTGGAAAATACTGATTTATAAGAATATTTGAATGCTGTCCATCGAATATTGTTTTTAAAAAGCTGAGATGCAGGTATCACTGATAATGCTTTTTCATGATGAACTCCATTATATTCTGAATTTAAACACTTATCAGTAGGTATACGTTTTTTGCAGTGCACATATTTCACAGAATGACTTGCTCTTTCGGTTATGTTCGATGAAAATGACAATATCCCGTTCCTACAGTTAGTAAATTTCAAAAGAGATGCAAAACAAGACTGATGTGTCTTCAGCATTCTCATGTCTCACTGTAAAATCCTTCCCTGCAAAATTATTATGAAAGTAAAATAATTTCAATCTCAATGGCTAATTACTTTTGGGAGTAAAAAACTATGAATTTGCCTATTTTTTCACTTCAAGGTAGATCTATTTTTAGCTATCACCACTTGACTACCTCTAGTATGGCCTTAAGATTAACGTCACCAAATAAATGTTCTGTGTCATTCCTTACCCATGCCTCCCTTGATTGGGAGAAGGTTGTTTATCTTTGAATGCGTTCTATTGGTTCTAAAGAATGCTATTAGGTAAAGCAATTTCTAGAATTTCTTTAACATATCCCTATAAATAGGCTGATCGGTTTCTTAACTGAGAGAGATTTTTGCTATATTCCCAAACATAAATGAGACGTTATATAATTGTGTGTAGGTAAATTAATATTTGTATTTTTGAGGAGTGTACCTTTTCACTTGCTGTGCTGTAAGTTGGTTTAGCTTTTTTTTTATTCTGTATTCGAATTTGTATTTTTATAGAAATGTAATACTAATAATTAAAGTCAATAAATATTTTTAGAATCACAAGCTTTGGTATCATTGTCATGTTCATGTTTTTTCTCAGTCCTTTGCTACATATTGTTCTTTCTACAAGCCCAATTAAATCTTCAAAACTGTGACAGTATGTAACAATGCTGCTTAAAATAAATCTGGTGTCCATTTGTCTTTGCAGTCGTTATATGTCGCAAAAATTAACAAGTTTGTGGATCCCATTACTCCAGTCTTATGTTAAGTACGTAACTAGATTTTAACTGGATTGTGCGACACAGTGAGAATTGTTTTCCAGTGTTTTTTATAAAACAATGCTCAATGCCAAGCACATTGTGTACCATAATAATTTAAAAAAAGACAGGGGCAGTTCGGTTAAATTGTGTTTCAGATAATCTGCATTCAGAAAATTGACGCTCTACTTATGTGGTTGCGGTTGTTACTGTCCACCTTTGATCCTGAATGACAGATAGAAGGAAATGTGCAACAAGGTATGGTAAAAACCTGAAAACTATATTATATTAACTACAAGTAAGAGTTTAAGTTTATGTAGTTAATGTAAGAGTTTAAGTTTAAACGGTCTACCACATTCCTCTTGCTGTCCTCTCAGATACAACATTTCAGCTATTTTTTTATAGTGGCGTTATCCTTTGTTTGTTTTCTGAAGAAGGCTTCTTGGTGACACGTTTTTTTGTTTCCTTTTTCAGGTTTTTACCATATCTAATTGCAAACATTACCTTCTACCTAAACCTGATTGCAGTCTCCGCGACCCAAAAACCACCCCTTCCCCCCACAATAAATGACAGATACAGTGATTCTATTTCTGATTTCTCTTTCTATTTATTAAATTACTACTATTTGAATATTAGTATATTTGTGAGTAAATAGCTATATATTGTCTAGTCAACTAAAGTAATAAGATCTAGCCTACTGAAATTGAAATCAACAATTTATATAGATAATCACACAAGTTCAACAGGGATCTGGAGCGGAGATCTGAGTAGAAGCTCAGAGCTGGGTCTTTTACTTTTTGCCCAAAGCTGGAGCTGGTAAAATATCTTACTGCTCTGAGCTAAAAAATGTTAATTAATTTTTAAAAGTAATTCATCAAAATCAAAATGTATGCCCTTCTCTTCTACCAACCAGCTATTTTCCCCCATAATTCTACAACTATGTTGCCCCACTCTTATATGTTGGCCCACTGTCTGCCAGCTATGCTGCCCTCAATCCTCTATACTACTAGCTACGTTTCCCCCACTTTTCTACCAGCCACTATATTGTCCCACTCCTATACCAGCTATTACTTCTTGCCCCATTTAATTTGTTGCCTACTCTTCTATCATCAATGTTAATTCTCTCTTCTATCAAATATGTTGCCTCACACTTATACCAGCTATGTTGCTGGTAGGCTACATGTATTTTTAATGCACAGTTAATAAGAATGGTAAATGGCAATAACTATACTATGCCTATTTACTAATGACTAATTAATTAGTTTAGTAAGTAATAGTAAATTCTATTAATTTATTAAAATTAAAATTATAGACTGAAAACAACTTACAACAAAAACATTAATTCTTTAGGCCTTGGACCTTGCTACCCTCGGTACAGCGATCTGATGCCAACTGAGCAGCTGGAACAATGCATTTAAAATTTGATATATAAGAATGTACTTTACGGAGAAGTAAAACTGTTAAATTTAGTAAAACCACTGATAATTGAGTGATGTTAAGCTGCATGATGCAGTGCAAGGCCGGGAACCTTAGTAGAAGGTCAGAGGTCATGTTAGTTCAAGGATGATTTGAATTTGAAGTAATGTGTTTTCATTATTATTGGTTGTGATGTTTTTATTATCGAAGTGGCTATTCGTACCCTGGTACCAGAAGTGAGAGGTTGGGATTAAAAAAAAACTATTTAAAATTTAATCGTTATGTTTGTAAGACAAAATGAGGTATCAAATGAAAGATCATTGAATGGACTATATGTTTGTAAACTTAATTCTTCAGTTAAACTAAAATAAACAACCACAAAATGACATGGGGGAGGGGGGTTGGATTAAATCATTATGTGATTCGCACATTTATATATTAATATAAAATATATTTATATATATTTTATCTGGCTACAAAAGATGAGATTGACAGTGATATTTAACTTTCAATGTATTCTTAGTAGCGTCTAATTTTAATATGAAGTGTGTTTTAGAATTTTTATTAGCTGTTTATTTATTTTTTTAAAATTTTAAATGTTTTGGGAGTCGGGCGCAATGTGCCGGGGGGGGGGGGTGGGGGGGGTGGGGGGGGGGGGGGGGGGTCGGTCCGAGATTTATGAAAGATTTTGACGGAGATGGGGGGTACAAATTTGTCAAAAATAGAGTGAAGTGGCCTATACTATAAGGTGTCCCTTGTTGTAATGTTGTTTCTAAATTAAAGGTATTAAACTTTACTTTAGGTGTCATGTACACCTTCTTTCTACCACCTATAAATGAAATCTCATCACTTTTGCCAATATCAACTCCCTCTCCCATTGTCACAAAAGAGGGAGAGGGAAGAAATAGGCATTTCTCATATATAATATTATTGGAAAGTATTCAGTTGTAAGAATCTAATGTTGCTACAAAAACATAACAAAAATAATAATAATAAAAGGAAGAATGATAATAATAAACTTTAAAAATAAACATAATAGAAAAGGAACTAAATATCTTAGAGCAGCTGAATATCCTTATACATCATTTAAAGACATTTATGCAAAAAACCCAGTTAAAGATTGCTATGTTTTAGACAAGAATTTGGGCATAATCAGGGTTTCTTTCAGCTATATCTCGGGGGGAGGGGGGGGGCTCTGCCCCCTCGGGGAAAGCCAAGTGCCCCCCGGAGCAAAAATATGTCCAACAATAAATCAACTGGCACTGCCCCCTCCCCCCACTCCGAAAAATCTAAAGTGCCCCACTCCCCGAGGGAAAATTTCTGAAATGATCACTGGGCATAATATATGGTAAAATTGATATATGGGGTTGGTGTATTTGTTTTTTTCAACTACTGGAAAATGAGGCCTGTTTGCAACAAACACCTTACAGTTTGGGTGTGTGTGTGTGGGGGGGGGGGGTTGTAACTAAAATTGGTTTTAATTTTTTTTGAAATAATCGCCCGCGAATTTGATTTAAGAGAACATATTCTTCACATAAGTCAAGTGTTTCCCAATGACGCCAATGTCGGTGTAGGGCCTACGCCTTGCTTTGTTTGTTGTTGTGGGGTTTTTATTATTTTTTTTTTAATTTTAGCATAATATATGGTAAAATTGATATATGGGGTTGGTGTATTTGTTTTTTTCAACTACTGGAAAATGAGGCCTGTTTGCAACAAACACCTTACAGTTTGGGTGTGTGTGTGTGGGGGGGGGGGTTGTAACTAAAATTGGTTTTAATTTTTATTGAAATAATCGCCCGCGAATTTGATTTAAGAGAACATATTCTTCACATAAGTCAAGTGTTTCCCAATGACGCCAATGTCGGTGTAGGGCCTACGCCTTGCTTTGTTTGTTGTTGTTGGGTTTTTATTATTTTTTTTTTAAATTTATGTATTTATTTATTTATTTTGTCGTTGTTTTTGTTTTGTTTAACATTTCTTTTTCTTGGGTTGTGGGGGATGCAGTGCCATCTTGCGGCATAGACACTTTGGGCAGTTGCCAAGGACCTCACGCTTTGGGGCCTCAAAATTCAAGGGCCTCACGCTTCTAGGGGATTATGAAGCCCATATTGTTAATGAATATTGAATGATATATAAATTCGGACAACTTAAACTGCTCTAGAAGTGAAGTGGGGCGTACGCTTTTGTGACCAGGTTTTCGATTACAACTAATTTAATTTAATTTTTTTATTAATTTTTTAAAATTTTAAAATTTTTTTTATTTGTGGTTTGTTAATAGCTTTAGGAAAATATATTCTTCTGTTTCAAACGACACACACAAAAAAAAAAAAAATAAATACAAAAAAATCCAGGCATTTTGGTTTGGGGAGGGTTAAAGTAAAAAATATTTGTTTTACAATATTGGCGCCTAATGTTAATTAATGATTAACATTAAATACACGTAAAAAGGTAATAATTAGTTATTTGAAGTTTTGTTAAATTTTAGTTCCACAATATATAATGAATTTATGTTTATGTGTGTGTGTGGGGGGGAGGGAGGGAGGGAGGTTGGGGCGCGACGAAGCCAGAACTAGCCTTGGGCGCCATAATGACTAATAAAAGGCATAGCGTGGCGCTCGGAGACAATAAACATTTTTACGCCTCCCTCTCAATGCTCATACACATTATTTTCATCCATAAAATGCCACGAAAGCTATTTTGGAGCCCCCATTAGTCTGGGGACTGGGGACATCTACCCCACATGGCGACGCCTCTGGGACTTATTTTGACGTTTTTAGATGCCCTGCTCCTCCCCACAACGACTGAGAGTCCCTCATCCCCCCCGGATGAAATTTTCTGAAAGAAAAACTTGTCATTACGCATGGGCAAGCCTGGGCCCTTAATGCTTTCCTTGCATTATCTGAATATGTTAGAGAGGAATAGGGGGGCCTCAGTGTCTTATTTTGCTCAGGGCATCTTCAAACTCCTCCCCAACTTAGCCTCCATTGCTGTTAAGACGACCTGGTTTGGGGGAAGGGGGGGGGGTGAAGTTTTTTTAAAGGACATTAACCCATAAAATGTTCTTTTCTACTGATTTATCACCACAAATTTATAAATTGTATAAATTTTACCTTAAAAAATTAATTGGATTTGTCATTGTTTATTGCCCACGATTTAATCTCTTTTAATTATCTTTTTAAAATATTATGATTAATGCGTTTAAAACGTTGCGTTCATTTTAAAAATAACTTTAAACATTTTTTTTTCCCTTTTAGCAGCTATTAAATGAATAATGTTAATAATTAAAAACAAGGGGAGGCTACGCTGGGCTGGACACTTAAAAAGGAATGCCAAATGATAGAGGAGTGAAGAGGGTGTACCACCAAACCCCAGAGGAAAGCGGCTCAAAGGCAGACCTAGGCTTAGATGGATGGATGATGTGGCGAGGATCTACAGCAGCTCGGAATCCAAGCATGGAAAAGAAAAGCATCAGTTAGGTCTGAATGGAAGGACGTGGTGAGGCAGGTCAAAGTCCTTCATGGGCTGTATCACCACAGGAATGGATATAATATTTTTATTAAAGTCTTCCTTAAAAAATGCCATAACATAAACTTCCTCTTAAAAACTAATCCATCAGTAAATGTTTTAAAATATTACCTCCCCTCAAAAACAACATTAAATTGGGGGGGGGGGGGCATCTTAACTTTTGCAGCAATACTGACCACGCAGTGAATGAGTACTGTTTACATATTATAACTTAACGTCTGCTGAAATGTATTTACATTGAATATAATGTGTTTCTTGGTACGTTTGAGTACGTATTAAAAGAGTAGGCATCACATTTTTTAAATAATGATTTAAGAACTGAATTGTGCAGTTTATCAATCCTAACTTATTATTATTTTATATTTTTTTTTTTTGGTTTAACTTAACATGCAATTCATTTTTTTTTTAACTCACGGATTAAAAAAAATAAAATATTCTTCAATTTTCCAGTTTCATTAAGGTATATTGTGTAATATCAGTCATATTTTTTGTAAACCTAATTGTTGATCCATGTGAAGATTTTTTGCTCACTTAGGTCGTCCAGACGGTGGAAATATCTCTTTGTTTTAATGCCTCTTTCTTGTACCGGTACTATTTATTTTCAAACCCTTTTATCAACTCGAGAGGTCATTTAATCTGTAAATATATGTAACTAGAAAACACATAACTTTCACATCTCAAGTCTTGAAGAGAAGACCAAAAACAAAAAAAACCTAGGTCCTTGTCATTTGTAAATTTAACGCAGTTTGTTCCCCTTTCGAAGTTTTCGTTATTCTCTTGTAGGTTTTCGTTTTCAGGTCTTGGTGAGAGGACCCACCACAGGTCTTGGTGAGAGGACCACCACAGGTCTTGGTGAGAGGACCCACCACAGGTCTTGGCACGAGGACCACCACAGGTCTTGATGAGAGGACCCACCACAGGTACTGGTGATAGGACACACAACAGGTTTTGGTGAGAGGACCACCTCCCCCACAGGTCTTGGCGAGAGGACCCACCACAGGTCTTGGTGAAAGGACCCAACCACAGGTCTTGGTGAGAGAACCCACCACAGGTCTTGGCGAAAGGACTCATCACAGGTCTTGGCGAGAGGACCCACCACAGGTACTGGTGATAGGACCCACCACAGGTTTTGGCGAGAGGACCCAACCACAGGTCTTGGCGAGAGGACCACC